AGCAGGGGTGCTGGATGAGATGATCCCAGAGCTCCCTCCCCACCCCACCACACTGGGGTTCAGTGAGAGCTCTGGGCAGTGTGCAGGTCTGTGGTCATCACTGCCTGGCATCTGTCCCTGTCACACCAGTGCCACCTGACGTTTCTCCTCCAGATCCTTCACTCCTCCTCCTGCACAAGCCTCTGCTCCCAGCCCATGGCTGCACTCAGCTCCCAGTTGACTCTCTGGATGCTCTGTGGTACCCTACACCCCTCCAACCAACCAACACTTCACAGCCAAATGCCTCCAAGCAGTGCACACACTCTAGAGACTCCTACCTGGGACACGGACTCCATGCAGAGGGTTTGAGAGGGCCATTCCAATCTCAGTCATCCCATACCTCTCCAGCAAGGTGTGCCCAGTGATGCTCTTCCACTTGTCCAGGACAGGCACGGGCAGGGCTGCTGAGCCTGACACCATTAACCTGCACAAGGAAACCCCACGTAAGAAAGACTCCAAGGGAATTTGCAGGCTAACCCAGGGTGACATCAAACCTGCTGCTATGTAAAACCTTAAGCCAGAAGCCCCAAAAGCCTTTTAACCACTACCAAGGATGTTCCACACAGAAGATCTTGTCTGATATAGGGTTTAAGTTAAGGTGGGAGAGACCCCTAGAAGAGATCCTGCAGTACAAGCTTGGGGTGCAGGACAAAGTCCTCTGTCTTGTGTTTTGGAGGGTGACACACAATGAGCATGCAGAACCCTTCTGGCTCTACCATGCCAAGGTGGGTCACAATTAAATAATGTCACCCTGGTTCTTGCCAAAGAGACACTAAAACACTGGGAAAAGGTGATGCTGAAAAGAAAACCTTAGTGTATGCACTTTGGGGCCAACCAGGCACCACAAGACCCCACCCAGAGGGGCACTGCTCACCTACCTGATGTTCTCCTGGCAAAAGGCATGCACGAAAGCCTGGGCTAGAGGTTTAGAGAAATGCTTCTCATAGTACTCTATCAGCTTGGCATAGATAGTGGGCACTGCCATGAAGACACTGACACGGGGAGATTCAGGGCTCAGGAGCCTGTTCCAAACCTAGAAAGGAAGAGAGCATCCAGGTATAAAAATACACCCTGGTGTCAGTGTAGAGTGTAGTGTCAGTGCTACCTCCTCAGCACCCTGAAGAGGTTCACAAGTGAGGGCTCTGCAAATGCTTCACGGGGCAGTGAGCCCCACCACTGCTCCTTCAAACAGTGGGAGTGAACCTGAGGGACAGGAGGGCAACAGGCTGGTCCAAAGCAAAGCCACCCTGGGCTGGTCACAGCCAAATCTCTGCTAGCTAAGGCTTCTGGAAAGTACAAGCAACTGGAAGCCTGAGGTGAGCACCTCATCCACATCCAGGACAACAGCTCCCAACCCTCATCATGTCCTTACTGCCCAAAGATCAATATTCAACTCTCACCCCACCAGTAGATCACCCACTTGCTTTCACTCTCCATGAGCACAAGGTGATGGAAGCTGCATTTTTTAGTACACAGAATCACAGGATGGTTTGGGCTGGAAGGCACATTAAAGAGCATCTTGTTCCAACCCCCCTGCCATGGGCAGGGGCACCTCCAATTAGACCAGGTTGTGCAAGACCCCATTCAACCTGGTCTTGAACACCTCAAATTGTTCCTCAGGACCAACCTCAACTCCCCCTGGGGCAACTTGAGGTTGTTTCCTCCTGTCCTATCACTTGTTGGCCCCCACCTCACTACAAGCATGATCCCCTGAAACAAGCCAAGACAGGCAAAATGCCTCTAAAAGGATCTAACCCCTACTACACTTCTGCCAGCCTCTTTCCCCAAATATCTTTTTTCTCTTTAGCCCCCCAATATCTTTCCCATTCGAGGTGCAGGATGGAGAAGGTCCTCTCCAAGGCCAGGGGGACCTGATCTCCTTGGCTCCTAAGAGCCATGGCCTTGGGCAGGGAGAGACAAGTGATCACAAGCAGGGATCAAGACCCTGCTGAAAGAATTGAAGGGAGACAACTGCTCAGGGCTGCTCGATCCTTGCTGTGGGATTTTTTTTTGCCTTCCCAAGTCCAGAGCAGCTGTGGGGAGCACAGGCAGACTTTCAGTCTGGCCAAAAAAAAAACCCAAACCCCAGATCATCACACCAAAACACAGCAGATCTCTCTTGCACCCTAGAGCCCCTCACGCCCGCTCAGCTCCTGCCCCAGATAAAATCCTCCCCACTGCTCCAGGCACAGGAACAGCTTTTTCCATGTCAGTTCGACTCGCCCCAGCAGCAGCCCCTTTCCTGAAGATAAGCAGCTGCCTTTGGATTCGTGCCCCCAGCTGCCAGGGTGACCTGCTGCCAGCCAAACCTCTCCACCTGCTCTGCCCCAGCTCCTACCCTCGCCTCTGAGTGGCACCGAGCAGCGAGCCTGGCACAGAGCTGGCAGCCCCCAGCCCCCCGAGCTGTCCAGAGGGCTTGAGCTGCCCAGCCAGCTGGAACAGCTACTGCTCCTCTACAGCTAGAACTTCATGGTTTGAGGGAAGGACCTGGGAAAGTGTTGTTGCTTGGGACTCAGTTCTTTTCCTTTTGCTTACTTGGTGGCTGAGGACGCCAAGTCCTGGACTTTGAGCTGGACTTTGCACCGAGTGCTCAGCAGACACAGGGAAGTGGCTGTTTCCTGAGGGAACACGTTCAGGAGACAGACCAAGATGCCTTTTAAGATAAACAAGGGCTAGAAACAGAAAACTTCCAACTGCAAGAAAGCAGGAGTGGGAAGAGCTTCCCCTCAGCAGCAAGGGCAGTGAAAGTCTTGGGCAGGCTTACAGGACAGGGCTGCCAGAGCCAGGAAACATCAGCAGAACTTGTGTTCCCAAAGCCTTCCCATCAGCCCAACATTCCTGATTTTCTCCCCCTCCCACTGCACACAAGCGTATCCGGGTGATTCCATGGGCTGGCCAGTGGGATCTTGTCATTGGTTGATTAAAAACAAAAACAGAGGAGAAAATGACACCAGTGGGTCCAAAACAACAGCCCCAGCTGTAAGATTTTTCCCACGTCTCTCTTCCAGCACACAGATGGTGAATGAGGACTGAGGGACACACAAGCTGCTCCAAGAGATGATTCTTCACACACCAAACTTCCCACCAGCCTCTGGACCTGCTAAGGTCACCTGAAGCAAGAGATCCAAGGCAGGAACTTTTCTTTCCAGAGGCCTCACCTTCAGCAGAAGATGTGTGATGCCATAAAATAGACAGAAACCACCAAATCTAACAACATCTGGGTGCATTCTGATAAAAAAAAACAAAACAAAGAGAAGGTGGCAACAACCATTTCTATGCTAAATCTTGCAAGACTTTGCCCAGTACAAGACTCCCCAAAACAGCCAGAAAAGATGCAGGCACAAATACCTAAAAAGCTGGAAAAGAAGCAAATCCCAGCATGGATTTTCCCATCAGTCCCCAAATGGATAATGGAGAGCCCATGCTGCTGCCTCTATCGACAGCTACAACAGCCCCTCTCTTCTACAAAATTATTGTATCATTTTCAGTTGTTATTGAATTTTTTTTAAGCCTTTTCAAAAGCAACAACAGCTCTAATGTGAGGTGAAATCATCCCTTTACTTCCCTTTTGATCCGTTTGTGTTTTGCATCGATTGCACAGCTGGCAAGGAAAAGGGCTGCCTGCAATTTTTGGAGCATCTGTGAGAGCAACAGGCAGAGACATGGCTGCAGCCAAACCAGCTCCTTGTTCCACGGGACCCTGTGCCCAGTGTTGAGGACAGAAAGCTCCTGTAACTCTTGACAACTCCCCTTGACAGGAGGATGAAGTCAGGTGGGGGTCGGGCTCTTCTCCCAAGGAACAAGCAGCTGGACAAGAGCAAAAGGCCTCAAGGATGCCCCAGGGGAGGATGGCGTTGGGGCTGAGGAACAATTTCTTCCCCTTGAGGGTTGCCCGGGGCTGTGCCAGGCTGCCCAGGGCAGTGGTGGAGTCCCCCCCCCTGGAGGGGTTTCCACGCCGTGGAGATGTGGTGCTGAGGGACACGGGGCAGTGGGGACCTGGCAGTGCTGGGGAAACAGTTGGACTCAATCTGAAAGGTCTCTTCCAACTTAAAACAATTCCATGCCTCTACAGAAGCACTAAAGGATGGCAGCACCACGTGCCCATATCCAGCACTGGTTTATCCCCAACAAAGGCAGACAGGCAGGACATGAGACAGGAGGGCATCCAGGGGAGCTGCTCTCACTGCTAGAGCCCCAGACAGCTCCTGAGCAATATGCAGAGAGAGAAACATTCTGCTCTTCAAAGGGAACTTGGGCCCTCAGTGGCTTCGTCTCGTGTTGGTTATAACCCTGAACTGTTTGTGCTCTGCACGACTCTGGTTTTAATCATTTATTCATCAGCACGGTTTGACGGCCCCGCCGCATTCCAGGCTGAAGCTTTTAAACCCTTCCTCTGCTGTAGGCGTACTGAAAGGAGCAAGTGCTTTCCCTGGGACCTGGGAATATAAGTAAATATGACAGGCTCGGGTTCCATTTTTTCCTCTTTCCCCACACACATCAAAAGACATTACTGCTGAACAGATGCTGAGGACAGACGGCAGATCTGGGGAGACGGGAAGAAAAACCGCTAACTTTTTAAAGCCAGGTCTGTGAGAAGTGATCAAACACCATCCATTCACCAGCGACCTGCTCCTCCCTCCACTGACAATGAAATCACCCCTCTGAAGCCTCCAGTTAAGGGATGAAAAGCCAGTTGCCTTTCCCCAGTTGAAACTGGAGACGCAACCCCCGGCGCGCTACGAGCAGCGCCTTTGCTGCGCTCGGTTATCGGAGATCAGGCTCCTCTGCTTGGATTTGCTTTTCTCTCAAAACCAAGCTGCAAGAGCTGCCCAGAGTGATGTTCAGAGAAGTGACAGAGCCAGGGGAGAGGCTCGCTGCAGTGTGAGCACTTCTCCTCCTTCCCGGAGGCAGCGTGAGCCCCAGATCTCCCAGCCAAGGCAGAAAGCCTCAGCCTAGCCTGGTTGGCACCGATAACGGCGGCAGCAAGGACAAGGAGCTTGCTCATGGGTACAGCACAGGCTGCTGGTTTGCAGGAGGAAGTCAGGGTTGTGACCACACCAAAAAGCAGCAACCCCCGAGCAACACCTCGAGGAGCATCAGGTCTGTGGCACCACGGGGGAGAAAAAGCTGCCACGGGTGACAGCACATCAGGGGAATTAGTCCCAAATCACACGCTAGCTTTGGGCACTCCTCATCCCTATTTCCCCTAGAAAGAAGGGTGCAAAGAAAACTAATTTGGATGGTTTTGCATGTGACATTGTAAAAGGGTTTGATTTTTAGAGGGCTTGATCCTTGGAGGCACCTCAAGTCAGACGCAGCAACGCTGGCACCAAAACAACAGCTCCTTTTGGAACTTGGGGGCAGTAAATCTGCATCCCGGCATATTTAGGATGGAAGCAGTTGCAGGGCATGGCCAGGGCTGTCATTCTGCAGGCTGCACAGCTCAGAACCTGCCCAGCAGAGCCACAGCTAGGTCACACCAAGGTGAGATTTCCAGAAGCTTCCCCCATCGCTCAGAGAGGGGTTTTTTTCCCCTTCATGCCTTTGAATACTTTTACTTCCCACTCTGCACTCAAAACTGAAAGACCTCCTGGGATCTGATCTCACGTTTATCAATGTGAAGAGCTGGCAGGGAGTCTTTTGCTGGTAGAACATCAGTCCCTTAAGGTGAGATCTGAGGTGGTCCAAGGCAAAGACAAGCTGTTCCCCTTGTTCAAACTCAGAGGGAAGCCACTTTGGCCAAAAACCTGAGCAGAGGATCCTGCAAAGCAGACACTGACCTCACGACTCGCTCCAAAAGGCTCCTGTCCACGTGGCACCTGACACAGCCAGGTCCTGGTGAGGAACAGGTATGCTGATGTGTGACTGTCACAGCAAAAGCACCAGCACAGAGAATCCCCTGGCTCCCCTGGGTCTGTCTGTCCACACTCACTGACATTTCCATCGAGTGACAGTCACAGGGTGTGCTCAGTCTGAGCAGCCGTCACCGAATCGATGCAGGGGGGAAGACAGAGAGGGAGCCACTGGGGAACGGATGCTCTGATGTCTGCCTGGTGCAACCCCAGTGCTTCAAAAAGCACTTCCTCGTGGGCTTTCTCTGATGCCCAGTAAGGAGAAAACTCACCTTGTGTTCCTTCCTTATGCAGAGGCATTAATTTCTTCTCCTCTGGCCACCGATCTGCACAAAAGCTGTACATATCTAGCATCCTTAAAAATTCTGCTCCTGCATAAGAAAGAAAAGCAGCAGGAGAGAAACACTGGCTGCCTGCAGCCAGGAACAGAGCAGCTGGAGCACCCAACCCAGCCTGGAAGTGGTTTAGAACGGGAGGATTGTGCTGGGAGTCCACAGGAGGACTCTGCCCACTCTGCACAGGTAGAAGCACTCAGAGCTCCCACCATCACCAGGCAGCACCTGAGAAGGGCTCCCCGAGGACACACACTGCACCCCGAAGAGTACACGCACCAGAGGACTTAGCACATCATGTGCAAGCAGACTATAACACTGGAAATTAAGGGTCCATTTATAAACCCTTTTATTAATAAATGATTAATAGAGGCAGCCGTATTTTTTAACAACTGACAATAAAAAGATGCTACGAAAAGCTTAAGCAAGACAGTCTTAACAGATGGTGCTGTAAAGTGAATTATAACATGTACAGTAGCTAGTGCAAAGTAATGGATGTCCTCATTTAATAAAAAAAAATCTGATTTTATGCAGCAACTTTCACGCTTGAGGCATCTCAATAGACTTTAATGAGCCCTGGTGGCCTCGGCAGTGACTCGCATGGAGCCCCGGCCATCAGATGGTGTTTTAGTGAGAGAGTAGATGTTGGTCAGGACACTGGGGTTACTCCACAGACCTGATTTCTAACCTTTCCTTGGACAGCTCCCAAAAAGCAGACAGAAGGGTCTGAAAGATGCCACCTCCTAACACTGCACTGCAGGGAACAACAAGAAAGCCTCGGCCCCAGGGCTTGAAATGTCTTCTAAGAAATCAAAAAAAAAAAAAGGCATTATTACCACCACTGAAACCAGACTGGCATCTGTATCCACGACTATAAGGCAGGCCGCAAATTATGTAATTTAATAAACACTGTAATAATAAAGTATTTATTTTGTATAATGAAGTGTTAGTGATTAGAAACCAAACACACATCGGGCATGCTGCTGCGGTTTCTCTTGAACCCTTGCCAGTATCACTCAAGGCTAAATATGTCTGCAGCAGGTTGAGAGTAAGTTCCTAGCCTTGTTTTGATCAGCCTGTCAAGTGTTTTAGCTGCCATTCGAGTTTCTTTATATCACACTCTGATGGGCTGCCTTCTCAAGGTGCAGCAAAGGGGCAAAAAAACAACCCCCAGCACGCGGCTAAACTCCGGCTCCTTCTGGAAAACCCTCCACCAAAACTCTGCTGCTTCTCCAAAAGCTGATTTCAGTAGCAAAGGGCATTTTGTAAACAGCTGGTGAAAATAGACTGGAGCTGAAAGGCAGCCTGCATTAAACTCCACAAGAAAGCCTTATTTACCCTCGTGTGCCTGCTTTGTAGTGTCGATCAAACCGCGTTCGGCTCCCAGGGGAGGCCCTTGGAAAAATAAAAGAGAATAATAATAATAATAAAAAAAAAAGAAACAGAACAGCAAATGCTGTCCTTCAGAGCCTGAACACACCCCAGAGCGCTCGGGACGGGGTCCGGAGGGCGCTGGCTGTGGCAGGGACACTTGCCCCCCCAACCTCCCTGCCCAAGTCCAAGCTCCAGGGCCAAGCAGATCCCTCCAGTGCTGTCCCCACTTGCCCTCCACTTGTCAAGTCTCTGAGCAAAGCTCTACCCCCCAAAGACAGGTGGGGTGTTCTGCTCCCCCACACCTGAACCCAACCTTCAGTGTCAGCTTGCAGGCTTGCAGAGGTGGGGAGAGCAGGGACAAACAAGGGTACAAGGGATACTCTGTCAGGGGTGGCCCAGGACGTGGAGAAACACACCCTCCAGAGGCTTTGCTCTGGGCTCCCAGCACATCCTCCTGCCACCTCAGCAGCTTCACCAGGGCCAGGGAGCCCCAGCTCTGGTGGGGCACACGTCTCTACTGCAGCCTGAGCTTTTAGGGTAACAGCCTAAGTGTGGGGGAAGACGATTTGGCAGTGACCACCAAGGAGAGAGCACTGGGGATCTTCCTGTCTCATTCTGCCACAGCACCCTACCAGCTTACTGAGGACATTCCAGAACCTCAGCACAGTGGGGTTGGAAAGGACCTCTGGAGATCATCTCCTCCAACCCCCCTGCTCCAGCAGCTCACCCACAGCAGG